TGGTGCAATATTATTTGTACTTATGGTGCAATACTAGGATATGAATATTATTTTGGGGTTGAACTACCTGTTATTTGACGTGTACCTTAGAGCTATTACACTACAAAAAAACAGCCCGTTTGTCACGGAAGTTTGTCACGGATCTGGGCCGTGCCAAAGTTGTCACGGGCTTTGTCACGGATATTTTGGGTTTGTCACGAAGAAGGCTTGTCATGGGCTTTGTCACGGATATCTAATTAGACCTTTTTGCTTGGTAGTTGATGCCTATTTTAAACCATATGTTTTTGTTATGTTTGAATTTAATGATTGCACTTGAATATTTTTGTGATAGTTGAACATTGAGATATTATGTACGTAGTATGTATAATGTAATGTTCATAATTTCGACAATCATTTTCATGATTTGAAATTTGAATTTTTTATGTAATTGAAGATAAATGTGTTCATTTTAGGAGAATAATAAATTTTTATAAGGAACCGAAAAAGGTAAGAACCGAACCAAATATAACTATAATCGAACCAAATTTAACAAGTACATTTTTTACTAGAACCGAACCGAATTTAACACCTACAATCTTTCTACGGTTCTATCAAATTTTGACTAGACCTATTGCTTAGTGGAATGGGTTCTGTCTATGTAATTCAATTTCAATAGCAAAGTTGGACACTCGGGGAGATTCAAGATTTGTGTCCATATGTGCTAGTGTGCTACTGCGTTGAATTGGAAGCTCCATCGGTTTATGAGCCTGTTGGTAGCCAGCTGCAAAACAAGTAGGCAGCTTTGTACCGGAATAGATGGCTTGCCAAAAAAAGACGGGTTCAAAAAAATCTTCAATAATAATAATAATAATAATAATAATAATTATTATTATAATAATAATAATAATAATAATAATAATAATAATAATAATAAGACCTTTTTACCTCAAATGGGACTAAATTATTCTTGAACTTCCTAAATAGGACTATCTATATTTTTATTCCCTAAATAAGACTAGATTACCTATTTACCCTTATTTCCTTCTTCTTTAATTGTCATGCGAAGACCAATACACCGCCGGTCATTCTTCCTCCCCTGCGCACACTTCCTCCCCTGTGCATGTTATTCTCCCTCATCTTCTCTCCTTCCCCTTCGCAATGAACAACGATCCTAGAAGCCCAGTAGTGAAGTCCACCGTATATACCTCTAATAATAATGATGTCACAATTTTACTACTCCGTATATATTAAGGAATACTCCGTATATAACTTCACATCTGTGTGACTATATTAAACTATTCAAATCTTGCACAAAAAGCGAGATTTGCTGGTCTGGTCTAGTCTGAACTGGTCTGGTCTGATTTCTTTGTATTTTTATAACTATCCAAGTCTGACCTAGTCTGAACTGGTCTGATCTGGTCTGGGAGGAATTACAGTCCAAATAAAAACATCCTTATTATGATATCCCATTTTATATTTTATAGTCCATCTATGATGTCCCATCTTTTGGACATATATGACCTTCTTGATCACTTTTCTAAAGTCTCATGTTTTCTAATTGCACATATATGACCTTCTTGATCACTTTTTTGCCCCTATTTAAAAGCGGTCACTTTTTGGGTAATTGGTTCAAAATTAGTAATATCCAAGTAAAAACCACATATACAAACCTTATTCTCACTCTCGCAGAATGCAAATCCTGATAAATAAGTATGAATAGAGGGAGTATATTACAGTTTCTAGGTTTCAAGTTTCAACTATTTTCCACTAATATTAAGAAAATAAATATTACGAAAGTGGAACTCATAATAAAAATATAAGAGGTGAAGAATTAGCAAAGTTTGACCAAGGAAAGTGAGACTTGTAAAATGGGACATCATAGATGGACTATAAAATATAAAATGGGAGATCATAATAAGAGGTTTTTTACTTGGATATTACTAATTTTGAACCAATTATCCAAAAAAGTGACCACTTTTAAAAAGGGGCAAAAAAGTGATCAAGAAATATATGTGCAATTACAAAACATGATATAATTGCAAAAAATTTATGTCATTGCGTGTTCGTTTTTTTGTAACTACAAACACCACCCATGTCATTACAACCACCGCATGTGTCACTACAATCACCGCCCGTGTCACTGTAGCCACCGCCCGTGTCACTGTAGCCACCGCCCGTGTCACTGTAGCCACCGCCCGTGTCACACGTGCACCCCACCCCCAGCCCCTAGCCCGGAGCACCCCAGCCCCTCCCCTCCACGACCGACACCACAGTTGATCCGTCCCGCATACACACCCGGAAAACACCACCTTTGACAGCCGGCACCTAAATCGTAATCACACCGGGACTGGACCCTCCCCAGCCCACCTCCCCGCCCCCACCGCCTCCTCCCCAGCAAACCAGCCCCCTCCCAGCCCCTCCCCTGCCAATCAGCCCCCTCCCCAACCCCTCCCCAGCCAACTAGCCTCCCAGCCCCTCCCCTGCCAACCAGTCCCCTCCCCAACCCCTCCCCAGCCAACCAGCCCCTCCCCTGCCAACTAGCCCCCCTCCGCAACCCACCAGACCCCTCCCCAACCAACCAGCCCCCCTCTCCAACCCATCAGCCCCTCCCCAACACACCAATCCCTTCCCCATCCAACCAGCCCCCCTCCCCAACACACCAGCCCCCCAGCCCCTCCTTTGCCACCGAGTGACCCAGCCCCCTCCCCAACCCACCAACCCCCCTCCCTTGCCACCCAACCCCCTCCCCAACCCACCAGCTCCCCTCCTTAGCCAACCAGCCCCCTCCTTAGCCAACTAGCCCCCTCTCCAACCCATTAGCCCCCTTCCCAGCCAACCAGCCCCCCAACCTCTTCCCCTGCCCTTCTTTTGCCAAAGCCTCCATCCATAACACCCTTCCTGACAGCCAGCCAGCTCTTTACCCGACCTATCCAACCCCAGCCCCTTCTCCAAACGTCGTGACCTACCATCCACAACCCTAGCTGTCCAGATCTAGCCACATCGCCGCTCCCATTTTGTCACTGCCATCGTCCGACGCAGATGGAACAAATAATGTTGCCACAACTGCTATTATTAAACCAGCAACTGTGACAACTAAGGCTACATGGATGAAGACGGAGGCGTTCTATTCTCATCCACCTCCCCATTGATCGTTGGAGCTGGGCAACGGTCATAAACGACCATCGGAGCAAAGCAGCGGGGGACGAAGACCGTCGGAGAAGCGTGCGACTGTGAGTTCGATGATGGGCGAGAGATAAAGGAGACTACGATACTGCTCATGTAGTTCTCGATTAGGAGGAGAGAAGGATCATTCGCTAGAGATGGAGGTTGCTCCTGTGCGATTGTGAGGACAGAATGAGTAACGTAGATCTCGATTAGGAGCAGATAAGATGTGGTCACTTTTTTGTAAAAATCAAATTCAATCATATTTTTGTGAGATGAAAGTTGGGAGGTAATACCCGTGCCATTGTTTCTTTGTATATTCCTGAGTGAACACGTATCTCATGGGGTGAAAACATTCAAATTTGGGTTTGTTGTTTTGTCTGTGCCTATGTCATGTACTCACTTGTTTTGTTGAAATCTGAAATGAATTTACCACACTTTCAAAATTAAGCAAATTGCAACATCTCAGCCACACCTTTTACCAAAAGGAGTTATTCAATTACAGAAATACTCCCAACACCCGTAGGAGTTACTTTTTTCAAATTTAATAGTACAATACCTTTACTCTTATTCATGTACTGAACATCAGAACATGCATTCAAACCATTAGTCTACATAAATGGAGATGATAATATGATATCATGAAAGCTTTTGATTATGACTCTTAAAACAAAGTTGGTTTTTACAAGGAGTAACTCCTCCCCAACAGCTATGACCAGGGATGGATTTAAGGGGGGGCGCGGGGTGCGATCGTCCCCCTTGGACTTTCAAATTTTTCTACTATATATGTAATATTTTTGTAAAATTTTGATACTTTAATTAGATTCGCCCCCCTTAACTTTTTGTTGAACATTGCCCCCCTTAACTTTTAATTTTTAAAATTAATATATAGTCTTACACAATGTAATACTTAATTGGAGATTTAAAAAAGGAACATCTAAAATAATTTACATAACTTGAATAAACAATAGAAGAACTCATTATTTGAGATTTAGGATACTTATTATATAAAAATTCTTAATTTTGTAATGTTTAATTATCTTTATTCGATAACTAGTAAACAATTTTGAAAAATATATTAAATACCAGACACTCTAACTACAAAGTTTTTAGATCATGTGAAGTGAATCCAAATTATAAATGTTTATTGACATTGAATTACATTATTCATTTACTTCTTATGTTCTAAAAAGACTTTATTGTATAGATAATAAACTTTAATTATTTTAGCATTAATACAAATATAATATGCACTATATATATATATATATGAATTAGCAATATAATATTATTCTAAAAATAATAATATCATACATACTATTGTAATATTAAAAGAACTGTTTGTGACTTATGAACACCCTCCATGGTAGACAAAAATTGTAATTCAAAAATCAATTCTTTATTTCTGTAAGACATATGTAGTTAAACAATATTGAAGTTATTTTAAAAGTACTGGTGAATCTGTACCTTATAAACTCTTTATATTTAAATAAAATTTTATATATCCTTTTTTTATTTTTGTATTATTTTCCATTGATTTGTCATTTCTTATGTTTTAATGTATCAATACTTTTTTCTAGAACACTCCAATTATAAAATTAAAGTTATTTTGTCATTGTCTAAACTTAGAATGTAATATCTAGATTTAAATGTCGTCATGTATGTATTAATGAATTGTTTTGAATAAAAATAGCCGCAGAGCCTTACACTAGTGAAAAATTTCGCTCCGCTACACTAGGGAAAAAAAATTCGCCCCGTTACACTAATGATTTTTTTTATCTCCTACACTAACGAAAAGTTTCGCCCCCCTTGACTCGAAATCCTGGATCCGTCCTTGGCTATGACGCGAGATGACATGATTGTAATGAGATTACAACCGTAGCCGATCACAGAGGCTCGAAAGCAAGTGTGACATATATTTATCATTGATACAGATTTAGACGTATAAATTGAAGGTGACAACCAGTATTTGAGACATTCTATAAGGAAAAGGTTAGAACTTAGAAGCATGAATATTATATGAGCTTTTTCTTTTGAAAATAGTTCCTCAAATACCATAGTTGCAGGGATGAAACAAATACACAGATGCCAATGGACATTATACTCAACAAAGCCACTCTCGCATTGGTTTTCTCACTCACCTCCCTTGCCTCTGCTTCCCTGCACACATTATAGAACACCACTCATCAGTAATAGTTAGTTCAACCACTTCCCCAACCAACAAATTATTTTTTCTTCTTTCTTTTGTTAAGTGGCTTCCTCACATACTTTCAAATCAAAGGTCCACATAGATATAGTGTTAGAATCCCAAATACCAATGAGAGAGAAAAAATAAGTTTATCATGCCTTATAATGAACTAAGGGCTTGATGGCCTAGTTGAATCATCTCAGTCTAGTCCTAAATTCTATCATAAAGTCTTGATACATGCACTTTAGTGTATACATGAAAAACCATTTAAGAGGTTAATGAACCACTCAAAACACTTCAAAGAATTGGAGCGCAGGGGGGATAATTTGGGCGCCTATAAGCTACCAAAATTGTTGGTTTTAACCTCTATATTGTTATTGGCCATCGCAGTTACTGTTGTTTGCATTCAAAAGGTTAATAAACTGCAAAAAGTATAGGTGGAGGCAAATATTTGATATGCACAAGGCTAGCCATATAACATTAGAAAAAAGTGAAACAGTGTTTCTTATGTAATGAATAATCATTCTGCAAGTACTGGCACGTAAACAGTTACCTCTCTTTCCTATACTTCAAATTTTCATGGATGGCTTGAATTATTCCTTCAAGTTTCATTAACTCAAGATTGACTCCCTGGATGGAAAAAATGATCACATATGAGCCAGAAATCAGGATATAACATGATATATATATATACACACACATACACACACACACACATGCATGCCCATATTATATATATGGGCCGCTCCCACCTCAATGCCAACTCATAAAAGAGGAACATTACCTCTAATTTTTCTTTTCTTGCAACTGATTCCCAATCCTTTGCAAAAATTCCTGTCTTCCAGTCAAGGCCAACAGTTGCGCCTTTGTTAGTCGCTGATAAGTTTCCATCCATCCAAAAACATGCGAAGTAGTAACCAGTCTCGGTTGTTGTAAATGCAAATTGACCATGTGTTACATTCTTTTGATGGTGAAGACTGTTGCCATATGGTGATGTCACCTATAAAATATACATAAGTAAAGACTTTTGATGGAACTAGTGTGATGACCAGATTTGAATTGCAAAGTTTTAGGCTCCTTATAGGAGATGTAGAGTTCTAGGTCTGAATTTGTTTGGATGGAGGGTTTTGGAGGGAAGGTTATGGAGGCTTAGTCTATATCAATTGTAGAAAAATGTAGCATATACATGTTATTTTATTATGTGTACATCCGAAACTGTATAGATAGGAATTAGAGTTGATTTAGGGCTCTAACTCTTAGATTAGCTCGCAGTGTAGATAAGAATAGATAGATCCTAATATTTAGGATCTGTAACAAACCTTAGCTTATCTGTAATCTTGTATTTATATCATTGCCGGATGGCTCAATAATACATGGAAGATTAATTCTTCAAACCTACATGGTATCAGAGCCAGGTTTAAACAATGGTAGAAACCAGTGAAGCTGATTCCTCACAAACTATCAACCCTAACTCCCAAATTAGCTCTATGACAAATTACCAGTCTCCTATTCATTCATCTATGATAATCACTAGTCATAGATTGAATGGAACAAACTATCTGGAGTGGTCTCAATCTGTCAGACTTGCAATTGATGGGAGGGGAAAGCTGGGTTACATCACAGGAGAAATCCAACCAAAACTACCTGCAGAAGAAGGGTACAGTACATGGAGGTCAGAGAATTCACTCATAACAGCTTGGCTTCTCAACTCCATGGAGCCCTTAATTGCCAAACCTCATATGTTTATGAAAACTGCAAAGGAGGTATGGGATTCTATTAAGGAAACTTATTCAGACCTTGAGAACTCTTCTCAAATTTTTGAACTCAAAACCAAACTGTGGCAATCTAAACAAGGAAATAGGGATATTATTTCATACTACAATGAGATGGTATCTCTGTGGCAAGAATTAGATCAATGATATGATGATGAAGAGTGGGAGAGTGCTAAGGATCTGACCAGACATAAGAAAAAAGAAGAGAATGATAGGGTCTATATGTTTCTAGCAGGGATCAATAGGGATCTGGATGAAGTTAAGGGGAGGATACTTGGAAAAAAACCTCTACCCTCTATCAGGGAGGTATTTTCTGAAATCAGGATGGAGGATAGCAGGAAGAAGGTCATGTACAACACCCCAGCACCTAATGAGGAACCTGGGGAATCTTCAGCTTTGGTGGCCAGAAGTAATGACAACAAGAAAAAACCTTGGTGTGATCACTGCAAGAAACTGTGGCACACAAGGGATACATGCTGGAAACTCCATGGAAAACCACCAGGGGCTGGGAAGAAGAAAGTAGAAAGGGCCCTACAAACTACTGTGACTGAGACTCAACAAGAGGCAGGAGTTGAACCTAAACAGCTACCATTCACTCAGGAACAGATAGAGTACCTACTCAAATTCATACCCACCCAGAAAATCTCCAACCAAGAAAACCCTACCTGTTCTTTTGCCCAAAATGGTAAAATAACATCATATTTTTGTTCTGAAAAACCTAAAAACACCTGGGTCATTGACTCAGGTGCAACAGACCACATGACCTACATTCCAAAGTTTTTTTCCTCTTATCAACCTTGTGCAGGAGATAAGAAAGTTAGAGTTGCAGATGGCTCTTTTTCAGCCATAGCAGGGATGGGAAATATTAAAATTTCCTCATCCATTAACCTTTCCAAAGTCTTACATGTTCCTAAACTGTCCTGCAATCTTACATGTTCATCAAAGTTCCTGTGTAAATACACCTGCTCAGAATGGAATAGCTGAGAGGAAAAATAGACATTTACTTGAAGTCACTCGTGCAATTATGTTTTCTGCTAAAATTCCAAAATATTTATGGGGAGAAGCTGTTTTACATGCTACCTATCTAATTAATAGGATGCCATCAAAAACTCTAGGATTCAAAACTCCTATTGATACTCTTCAAGCTTGTTTTCCTGAAACTAGACTAATTAATTCTCTTCCCCTAAAAATTTTTGGGTGCACAGTTTTTATTACCAATCCTGACAGAACTGCAAGTAAATTTGATCCTAGAGGGAAAAAATGTGTTTTCTTAGGACTCTCTTCAACTCAGAAAGGCTATAAATGTTTTGACCCTATAACAAAAAAGATGTTTATATCTATGAACACTGTTTTTGTAGAAGATCAACCTTTTTTTGGTACTCATCTTCAGGGGGAGATTCCTAATGAAGATGGTAATAATGTATCGCATATCCATGAAAAACTAGAACCCCTTGACATTAATCTAGATGCACAGTACAATAGACAGTTAGATGCACTAGAAAATAGTCAAGAGTCAAAAGAAAATGAAAAAAAAAATTCTGAAACAAGGAAAGATGATGAACAGCAGACAAGTAAGTTTTTTGGCAAGGTTTATGAAAGGAGAGTTCCAAATCACAGAATAGAGGACATCCCTGATCCTGCCACTGTCCATGAATCTGACTCAATGCCAGAAAATGACAAAGGTAATAATTTCAATGATCTAAATCTACCCATTGCTCTCAGAAAAGAAAAAAGGTCATGTGTTAAATACCCTATCTCAAACTATCTGTCCTATTCTCAGTTATCTACATCATTTGCAGCCTTTACCTCTAGCCTTTCCACTGTCTCTATTCCCTTAACCATACAGGAAGCCCTATCTATACCTGAGTGGAAGAAGGCTGTTTTAGAAGAAATGAATGCCCTTGAAAAGAATCAGACATGGCAGACTGTAGAGGTACCCAAAAACAAACCAAGGGTTGGATGCAAATGGGTGTTTACCCCTAAATTCAAGGCAGATGGTACACTTGAAAGATATAAGGCCAGATTGGTTGCCAAAGGATACACACAAACCTATGGCATAGATTATACAGAAACTTTTGCACCAGTTGCAAAATTAAATACTATAAGGATCCTACTATCTCTAGCTACTAACCTAGACTGGCCTCTTCAACAGTTAGATGTGAAGAATGCTTTCCTAAATGGGAAGCTTGAAAAGGAAGTATACATGAGCCCTCCTCCTGGGTTTGAGGAACAATATGGCTCAAAGGTGTGCAAGCTAGAGAAAGCATTATATGGGCTTAAACAGTCCCCAAGGGCTTGGTTTGAAAGGTTTACTCAATTCATAAAGAAGCAGGGATTCAAGCAAGCCCAAGCAGATCATACACTATTCATGAAATTCTCCATTAAGGGAGAAATTGCAATACTAATTGTTTATGTGGATGATATAATTCTTACAGGAAACTATTGTGAAGAGATTGAAGACCTGAAGAAGAAGCTTGCTCAGGAATTTGAAATCAAAGACCTGGGAGAATTGAAGTATTTTCTTGGCATGGAGATAGCCAGATCAAAGAAGGGAATTGTGGTATCCCAAAGGAAGTATGTACTAGACCTACTTCATGAAACAGGTATGAGTGCCTGCAGACCAATAGATACTCCAATTGACCCTAATCAAAAGTTAGGAAATGTCAAGGAAGGAGTACCAGTTAATATCCACCAATATCAAAGATTGGTGGGAAGGTTGATTTATCTGGCACATACAAGGCCAGATATTGCCTTTGCAGTCAGTATGGTTAGTCAGTTCATGCATAATCCATTCCAAGAACATCTAGATGCTACCTACAGGATCCTAAGATATTTGAAAAGTTGTCCAGGGAAAGGATTATTTTTTAAAAGAAGTGACAATAGAAGTGTAGAAGCCTTTACAGATGCAGATTATGCTGGGTCAATAACTGATAGAAGGTCTACATCTGGGTATTGTACTTATGTATGGGGAAATCTGGTGACTTGGAGAAGTAAGAAGCAGAATGTTGTTGCCAGAAGTGGTGCAGAATCTGAATTTAGATCTATGGCTAATGGAATCTGTGAACTACTTTGGATCAAAAGAATGATGACAGAGTTGAATATGGAAATGGACCTACCTATGAAGTTATATTGTGACAATAAAGCAGCCATTAATATTGCTCACAATCCTGTGCTACATGATCGTACTAAACACATTGAGGTGGACAGGCATTTTATCAAAGAGAAGATTGAAGCTGGAATTGTGTGCACACCATTCATATCTACTAAAGAGCAGACAGCTGATATCTTTACAAAGGGGCTGTTTAAACCAGTGTTTGAATTTCTTATAAGCAAGTTGGGAATGTATGATATATACTTACCAACTTGAGGGGGGGTGTAGAAAAATGTAGCATATACATGTTATTTTATTATGTGTACATCCGAAACTGTATAGATAGGAATTAGAGTTGATTTAGGGCTCTAACTCTTAGATTAGCTCGCAGTGTAGATAAGAATAGATAGATCCTAATATTTAGGATCTGTAACAAACCTTAGCTTATCTGTAATCTTGTATTTATATCATTGCCGGATGGCTCAATAATACATGGAAGATTAATTCTTCAAACCTACATCAATGATAAATAGAATGTATCTAAGACCGAACAAAAGGTGATTGAAATATTATACGATTACATATTATTTTAATGTTTCAACTTTATAGTATCTCAAATGTATATCAAGGAATAGACTAGGCCCTCCAAAGCATTCCTGTAATCCTCTCCGAACAACTCCAAAAATCTCCTTCCATTGATTTGATTCACACTTTTCAATCCCCCCCTCCCAACTCCCCAAGTTGGATTCTAATTTGTCTCCAATACATGAGACAATTTAATGGAGACAAATTTGAATCCAACGGGGGGGGTTAAAAGTGTGAATCAAATCAATGGAAGGAGAGTTTTGGAGTTGTTTGGGGAGGATTAGAGGAATGCTTTGGTTCTGACCCTCTCTAATCAGGACATAGTTGTTGCTTTACTTTGCCAGTTGCTTTCCCGACATGAATACTAAATATTTAAGGTTGTGAGTTCGAATCTAAAAAATGGGTGATTGAGCCCTACTAATCTGCAGAATGATTTTTGGACTGAATACACTAAAATTGGGGTGCCTGACTGCCGCCTACTAATCGCCTGGCATGAAGACTGGTTTCTTGAACAGAAACCACACATTCATAAATATCCTTCCTAACTCTGATTCATAGCCAATGAATGCATGACATGGACTTCAGCGAACTAACAGCATTCGAGTAAACCGTATATCCAATGACCCTGACTCCTTTCTGATTATACAAAATATATTACTGTGGTATATAGATATATATATCCCTATTATTACAAAATATATTTACAACAAGTCAGTTAGCATTTTTCTTAAAAGCAAATGAAGTATGCATGAGTTGTGCACTTGTGCGGTATGAAATGCTCCGCTCCAAGCCTCCAACTTTCAGTAGGTTTTAGTTAGTACCGGTAGGTACAAAATTGGAGTAGCAAATGTTCATGGGGTTATCTAGCACATTTTAACAGAACATTTGCTTTTCCACATGCATAGAAGTCATTTAATGATGGTGTATACGAAGTACTGATTTTAACTCAACTAAATCAACTCAGAAGTATTGATTACTTCATGGTACCCTACTAATCTGCAGAATGATTTTTGGACCAAATAGACTAAAATTGGGGTGTCTGACTGCCGCCTACTACTCGACTGGCATGAAGGCTGGTTTCTAGAACAGAAACCACACATTCATGAATGTCCTCCGTAACTCTGATTCTTAGCCAATGAATGAACGACATGGACTTCAGCAAACTAACTGCACTCGAGTAAACCGTACATCCAATGATCCCAACTCCTTTCTGCTCACACAAAATATATTACTGTGATATATATACATCCATATTATTAGATAATATCTTTACAACAAGTCAGTTAGCATTTTTCTTAAAAGCAAATGGAGTATGCATGAGTTGTGAGGTAAAAAATGTGACAGTCTAAGCCTCCAAGGCTCCAACTTTCTTTTAGTTAATACCGGTAGGTACAAAATTTTAGTGGCACTTGCCACAGAGGCATTTGGGGGGTATCTAGCAGATTTTGACAGAGTATTTGCTTTTCCACATGGATAGAGGTCATATAATGATGTTGTATATGAAGTACTGATTTTAACACAACTTAATCAACTCAACCAGACCAGAAGTCATCATCCTAGGATTTGGGTACATCTTTACAAGTTAATTCAGTTGTCTAACTTAACTGGAACAATAAGTTAAAATTTTATCCGTTCACAATACTACTATTTACCAAAGCTGTTGTTTTGTATGCTCTAACATGAATTACTAACTTTCCAACCACTGCTAATTAAATTAACTCTTACAATCTCTATTTGAATTTTGAAAAGTACTAATCCCATGGAAAATCCAGTCTTGATATGAAATTATAGGTCTTCTTACTTCCATATACAAATTTGACTCCTCTTTGGAAAACTAATTATCCAAGTACCCTCTTCCTAATTTGCCATCATTCTCTTCTTGCCTTGTTTGCATAACTAAAGGCCTAAATCGAACCCTATGGCTATGTTTGGGAGTTGCGTTTTGGATTAGAACATGTAATATATACTAAGTTATCATTTTATATTACGAGTATTTGTTTATAAAAAAGGCCGAGTTAAAGCTATGAATTTTGAAATCTTTCGCACAGTATGACTAAAACATGCAGTAATCCCCAAGTAGGACAACTAGTAATTCCATAACTACATAGGTAGTGGTTTTGTCCCAAATGATCTGTAACATAAGTATTCAGGCAGTTCCTAGTAATTCTGAATTTTTGAATTTTTTTCATCACTCGACTACTTTGGCCTTTGGGCATCAATAAAACTTTTAATTTACTTTCAAAATATATAAATTTAGTTATTTCAATTATCAACAATAACTGATGTGTTATTAGGAGCTAATTAACTTTATTTTCGGACAACTTTAAACTAAAAAGATCCTATCTTTTTCGCACAGAGGAAGTATTATTTAGAGAAAAAAATCACAATAGCCTCACTTTAAAAACAGCTATTTTTAATCATAGTTCTGGACTTCTGGTAATTAATTCATAATTTTTCAAAATGAAACATATTCACTCCCCTTTGACCCTCTCTTGCGTATTCCACACTAACCCCTAAACTCTTCTTTAATTTTTTCCATTGCACCACTCATCATTTCCCAAATTTATAGTCTCTTCATTTCCTTTCTTCTTTTGTTATGAATTCAGCTCAATTCAATATTCTCAGTAAACAGAAAGCAATTATATATTTTTCTCTTTCATTTACCTGGACGGAAATGGTCGGGATGACTGTATGTGCCTCGTCTCCGATGATGTAATAATCGGCCAAAACAACGACGTTGTTGTGGATTTCCTCCGACACACACTTGGTTCCCGAGCTCGGCAAGTCCAGCCACAGCGCATCTCCGGTGGGTAGCACCGCCGCAGAAGAGAGCAGAAGCAGCACAAAAAACAGCATTTTTGCCACGTTCTTGAACCTCTTTAATCTCTCCGAGAAATATCTCTCTGTATCTCGAAAAACATGTACTTCTCACGTTCACTTCGGAGTTTCGAGCAGCCGGGTAGGTGGGAGTTGGAACACCGGAGGACTCTGCGTGTTTAATGCTTGCTGTGTTTTTTGACAAGAATACACGGAGTAATTAAGATACGGAAAAGTTGATATTAATCCCCACTATGGTAATAATCCAGATTCCCGACTATTATAATAACGTATTTATATAAGGATTACTATGTAATTTCTAAACGGTGTTTAGTATAAATATTAGGGTTAATTATCAAAATAGGATTAAAAGTCATTCACTCTACACAAATAGGATCAAAAACTAAACTATGTTTTCATATGACTAATTATGTCTGTCTTGGACAAATATACCTTCTAGCTATTGAAATGTTTTGATTCATAATAAAATAATAAAAAATAATAAAAATTCGTAAAAAATACTAAAAAAATAATAAAAATATTTCGATAATAATAATTAATTTATTTTTTTTATGGAGTTTTACTATTTTTTATTAATTTTTAAAAAAAATAAAAAAAAACATTAAATTTTTTTTAAATTTTTTATTTTATAAATATTTTATATATTTTTTAATTATTTTTCTACGAATTTTTGAATTTTTTTCGAATTTATTAAGAATTAAACATTTAATTAACTCATATTTAAAGGAAGGGTAAGAATGGAAGGAAAAAATAGGTATGTTTCCAATAGGACTAATTTGGTCCTATTTTGAAAAGAAAATCATAGTAAGTCCTATTTTGAGTTTTTGCCATAATTTTAGTCCTATTTGGAGTAATTTCTATAAATATTACCTCATGACACCCAATCGGGTACGTCATTATTTCCTAAAATTATTGTTTTATATATGGTATCAGACGCTTAGGTATTTTTTCCTTATGGCCGGCCAAGCTAACCCTATCGCCGCCATCGGTACGGCGCCCGTCACGGCGGTGCAGCCCATCTTCTCCGGCATTTCTCCTATACATGTTGTCGTGCTCACCACGGAATCACCGTCTGGTTCGAGCAGCACACCAGCGTCCTTCCCACAGGTATCCACGCCGATCGGCCCCTTCTCCACCGCGCAACATCGCTCGCCTCTGCCGGTCTCGTTATCGCAGCGCCTCCACAGAGTTCCAGCTCTAGATTCCTATCACTTGTTCAACATGCCCGAGCCATTCACCTGGGCACCGTCAGTTTCCACGGTTGCAACCCTCCCACCGCCGCCAGTGTTCCAGGACCAATGCCGATCATCCACTACTTTTTCTGGCCCGACTTTTTCTGGATAGCCAGGCGTGGCTCCACTGCAGCACCCAACGATTTCTTCCATACCAGGTTTTAATTCTCCAACCAGTTATCTATCTTCCCTGGCATCACAATTGGTTTTCTCTACCCCGAATGTTAATAATATTGTGACCACCCGCCTTTCTTCGGTAGAAGATTATTTGCCCTGGAGGACACAACTTGAATCATTGTTAGTTTCTCACAGTTTGTTGGGTATTATTGATGGATCGATTCCGATCCCATCCTCTACTACATATTATTTGTCCATACAGGAAATTCCCAATGCTGATTATCACCACTGGCTAAAAATTGATCAAATTGTTCACTCTTGGCTTTTTGCAACGCTAGCTAGAGATGTGTTAATGGAAGTCTGATTTAAAATTCTCTCATTTGATTTGGGATAGACTCCACAAAAAATTCATGTATGCTTGTATTTCTCGTTCTATTGAGCTAAAGCGTGTATTATCTCATGTTAAAAAGGACTCTCAGACTATGAATCAATATTTGTTAGAAATTAAAATGTTAGTTGACTCTCTTGGGCCATTAATTCTCCTGTAAGTGCACGTGATTTGATTGAATATGCTATTATTGGATTGGGTCGTGGATATGAGTCCCTCATTACCACCATTGACTACATGTCCAGGATTCCTACACTTGAAGACATACGACCCATTTTGCAAGTCCAGGAGCAGCGCAATTTATTTCTCCAGTCTCAAGAATCGGTCCCAGCTCCTCATCAGGCGTTTGCAGCACCTCATGCTGCCCCGCGGGGGTGCTCAACGGGGAGGGGGTGTTCCGCAGATTCATGGTCGAGATCGAGGACAGAGAGGGGGCCGTGGTCGAGGGGGTAGAGGCCGAGGAGGCCGAGGGGTTACTACCAGCATCCCTATGGTCCATATGGAGCCGCACCACAGTCGCATGGTCCTTATTAAGGACAGCCTGCTCATCCGCAGCCGCGAGCATCCGCATTTCCTGGGGTACCAGGTTCGGCGTTGTGTAATATTATTTATGGTAGTAATTATACTGATTATTATTCTCCTACTGCTACTCACAACACTTATGCAGGTTTTCCATCCGTGGATCAGTCATATCAGTCTCCTTCCCCCCAGTTGTTTGTCAGTTGTGTTTTTCTCCAGGTCACTCGGCGCTTCAATGCTCCCGTTTTACATCTTCACATACCCCGGCTCTGTCTGCTCTTCCTACAGGTGAAACCAATGATTCAGTCTGGTATCCTGACTCGGGGGCTTTGACTCACATGACTCCTCATGAAGGTATTCTTTCTTATAAAACTCCTTATCATGCCCAATCAAGTCTGTGTTGCTAATGGTACTAAATTACACATTTCTCATGTTGGTCACTTAAAGCTCCTCACCCATGGTCGGCCGCTAAATCTAAACTCTGTGTATCATGTCCCACATATTAAATATAATTTACTGTCAATTCAAAAATTGTGTGCGGGCAGTGCCTGTCAAGTGATTTTTGATAAAAATTATTTTTTTTGTTAAGGACAACCAAATGGGGGAGCTTCTACTTCAGGCACGTAATACAGACCATGTTTATCCTTTCCATGCCCTTCAAGCCTGTGTGGTTCCTGGTCCGATCTGGCACAAGCGGTTGGGGCATTGTGGTGATAGAGTTCTTACTAGACTTAGGTAGCATAAATTAATTTCTAGTTATTCTGCTTTTGGTCATGATTGTGTTTCTTGTAAGTTGGGCAAGTCCCACAGACTTCCTTTTAGTGATGTTACTCATGACTCTATTGCTCCTTTACAACTCATTCACTCTGATGTTTGGCAATCGCCCGTTTTATCAAACCTTGGTTTTAAATATTATGTATCTTTTATTGATGCTTTTTCTCGATATACCTGGATTTATCCTAAGCGTAGAAAGTTTAAAGTTTTTAGTCATTTCTGCAATTTTCAAAGGTTAGCTGAAAATTTTTTGAACCTGGAAATTTTTTGAACCTGAAAATCAAGGCTTTCATAGTGATGGTGGTGGTGAGTTTGACAACAATATTCTCGCACCTCATAATATATTACGTGCTGCATCTCATAATAAGCTATCACCTCGTTCCATTCACTGTGTTTTTATTGGCTATGCACCAGGCTACAAGGGCTACCGTTGTTTTTCTCCGAGTACTGGTCGTGTTTATGTTAGTCGGGATGTCACCTTTCATGAAAATGTTTTTCCACATCCCTCCTTAATCTCTACCTCTCCTATCCCCAATCCCGATTTACCATCCTCATGGCTGTCCTCCTTCACCCGTAGACCACAACCCTCCTCACCAGACCATTTGCGTCTACCCTCTCCCACACCCACTCCACTGCTGCCGTCCACTTCCCCACCAATTCCCTCACCCGCTTCCATCTCACCACAAATTACCTCACCAACGACCATCTCCCCTCCTGATCCCCCCTTATCACCAGTCGTTTCTACCCTATCCTCTACACCTGGTCGTGACCTTACCTCACCTGACAATCCACCTTCTGCCAATCCCACCAAGCCACTAAGTCCATCTCACTCAGCCAGTCCATCCCGCTCAATCACTGCTCCTCTTAATATCCATCCCATGCGTACACGTGCTAAGGATGATATTTTTAAACCCGAAACAATTTTTAATTTAAGTGTTTTTCCTCCCCCGGATGATCCAACTTGTTTTACACGAGTAAATAAATGTGAAGTTTGGCGGGCAGCCATGGCAGATGAATTTAATTCTTTAGTTGCTAATAAGACTTGGGATTTGGTACCTTGGGACCACACTAAAAATGTGGTTGGTTGTAAGTGGATTTATAAGACAAAATATTGTTCTGATGGGTCTGTTGAGCGCCATAAAGCTCGATTAGTTGCTCAGGATTTTAAACAACAGGCTGGCATTGATTTTACTGAAACATTTGGTCCTGTCGTCAAACTCACTACTGTTCGTCTTGTTTTGTCTATTGTTATCTCCTTATGGTGGTCTGTTAGACAACTTGATGTGAAAAATTCCTTATTACATGGCTATTTAACTGAGGAGGTGTACATGCGTCAACCACAAGGTTTTGTTCATCCGTCTTTTCCTAACCATGTATGTCGCTTAAAAAAAACTCTTTATGGTCTAAAACAAGCTCCACGAGCTTGGTTTCATCGATTCAGTGGTTTTTTAATGAGCTGGGGGTTCACACAAAGTAAATCTGATTCTTCTATGTTTGCTTATCGCTCTCAGTCACAAGTTGTTTATATTCTTCTCTATGTTGATGATATTCTCATTACTGGTTCTTCTACATCGTTTGTTTTATCTGTGATACATACATTATCTCTTCGGTTTGCCATGAAAGATCTGGGTGATGTTCATTATTTTTTGGGCATTCAGACCACCCGCACGCCGAATGGTTTGTTTTTGTCTCAAGCAGAGTATATATCCGATCTCTTGCATCGCTTCCATCTTCATACAGTTAAACCTTTGTGTACTCCTCTACCCCCACGCACCACTCTCTCTCTCTCACAGATGGGGAACTTTTATATGATGTTACTGCGTATCGCAGTATGGTAGGTGCTCTTCAGTATTTACATATGCTGTTCATCTGGTTTCCCAGTTTATGCATGCTCCTCGTACTACTCATTTATTGGCTGTTAAGCGAATTTACAGGTACCTACAGGGGACATGAGCTCACGGCCTATGGCTAAAATCCGATAAAAATATTGCTGTTATTATGGCTTATTCTGATGCAGATTGGGCTGGTTGCCCCGATAGTTCTCGTTCTACTACTGGTTATGCTGTTTTTCGTGGATCCAATCTCATCTCTTGGCGATCCAAAAAGCAGCCCACGGTGTCCAAATCTTCCACTGAAGC